ATAACAGCAAATGTACAACGTTTCGACAAGGTTTTGTCATCATCAGGTACATCATCATCACCTGATGATGACAAAACCTTGTCGAAACGTTGTACATTTGCTGTTATATTAAAGTTTTTCTTCATTACCCATTCAAGCCGTCTCCAGCCATTATTAAACAAATCCTTATGTAGCTTTAAGCAATTATCTGAAACAAAAACAAACTACTGTGTGTTCATGTTGGTTTCCACAGTTTCGTTCATGGACCAGAGGCACAAAATTCATTGAAGCTGCATCTGGAGACTGGATTGAATAAATTACTGTTTTTTTTTTTACTCGTTTGCCATTTTCTCTGGAAAATATATAGAAATTGGTTTATTGGTGGGTTTAGAGCTTGTGGGTCCTCGTCAAATTCAAATTCTTTTGTTAAGGGTGCTAGGAAATATGCTTAGCTTCATTTCAACGGATATTCGGGTCAGAGAATGTTATGACCCAAAATTAGGGTTGTATAAAGAAGCATAGTCTTCTCTTTTTGGATGAGGGTATTGTTAAGGATTGGGTTGGGATGTGATTTCGAATGTGATTTGGAATGTGATTTGTTGTTCTAAACGCTGTGTTATACCAGTTGTTCGCTTCTATAAAGATTGTTAAGGCTCCCTTCTTCAAAAGTATTGTTCTTTGATCGTTTAACAATCTCTTTCTTGAATATTTCTCCTTGGGAGGGCTTTGAATTACCCTCCAGCCATACGAGTATCTGTGGCAGTATCGCACGGTGAATTGTCAGGAATTCATCAGGAACCAAGTATATACATATATAGGTGCTAGACATGGTACATGTGGCGTCACGGCTCCCATCTGCAGTAACCTGCTAATGGATAGACAAACACAATGTTTTCAAATACAGTTAAATTAGTCCTTTGTATTTACAGTTCTGCATTTCTTTGTGGTATAATTTTTGTATACCTTATTCTGTTTTTGGTATACTTTCTATAGACCTACGTGTCGTTTTTCATATATATTTTGTATTGACCAGTAGGTCCTTTTTTTTTGGTATATTTCTACAGACTTACATGATAAAGATACGAAACCCTATAATCCGAGTGCTTTCTTCTTCAGGGACAAACTGTCTATAAATGTGCGTGTGTATTTAAAGGTTTTAGTTTCTATTTGTAAGAACTAGTTGAAACAAACATAAAACTTATAATAGATGTGATCTTGCTTGCTTGTTAAGCACATAGCTATTAGTGCTGTGGCCACCACGGGTAAGGAAGCACGATTTGTAGCGTTATAAAGTATTCATGCTTACCACTGAGCTGCTGGAAGAGGGAGCAATAGATGTGAATATTTCTTCTAAATAACAAAAACATGTGAGTCTTCTTGTGCTAATGTACCCTCTGGTCTGGATGGAGGGAGTAGGTAAGATTGTTAAAAATCTCCAGAATCCTTGAGTATTTCTAGACAGACTTGGAGTTATTGTTTAAAAAGCAAGAGAAAAAAACGAGTACTGTGGTGCTGATGTTAATGAACAGAGGTGGGGAACACGACATAGATAGTAATATTGTTTCGAGTTCATTTTCTTTTTCAACTACTTCTTGAACAGTGTCGTACATAAAATAGAGTTCTGTCTTATATGTGTATCGTAATATACGTTTGTCAATTTTTTTTTTCCAACGAATTGCTATTGAATATTCACTGAACAGAAACATCATCTATAAAACAAACAATCTAAAGCTGGAGAAGAACAACATAATCCCAAAACAGTGTTCGACTAAATTTGGGGTTGTGCAGTAACATCCATACACGAACAATGTGAAGCAGTTAATCTTGTGACGTTAATCAATTAGTGCTCTTCTAAATAAAAAGACATGATAGTAGTGACACAAATACAAAATGAGGCAGTCCTAGCGAGCTTAACCCCAATGTGACACTCAGCTATATATATATAGAAATTGTTAATGTTGGAGCAGAAACTGCTAAGTATTTACTCGGGTATACAGATATAGTACGAAAAAAGTTTACACCATAACTACTGGTTGATACATGATTCAGATGCTATTTCATTATAGACAGTCTTTATATAATGTATATACAAAAACAGCCTACACCCTAGTGGATAATTTCGATAAAGTAGGGAAAATATAGATTACAAACCAAAATCATTGTTTACGTCAGTGTAAAAAAATTAATTTTCTCAGTTTTTCTACCGTAAAAATCGTAGTATTTAAAATACTTAACATTGAAAAACTTGACATAAGAATTGCTCTGTCAGAGTAGGTCGTATGTACCTATACCAGCTCTACTGCAAAATGGATATTTGCACATGGAAATCAAGCACTAGGCCTAGTCTCCTGAAGATCCTTACGTTAAAATTACGCTCAGTGGCTCGGCGGAAATTGTGCAGGCTTACGACGCTAAAATTCGGGTTTCGTTACCCATAATGAACAACCACAGTTAACTCATTGTATAGCTTTGTTAATAACAACAACCAAACCGAGTTATGTTTAAAAATGGTTACAGTTCCTAAGCGCAACTAAAATGACTTTGTTTTAATTTTATTGTACATTAATGGCCAACTTATTTCTCAAGAACTTAACGTTTGTCATTGGTTTATAATCTAGACAAAAAAAAAGTGGGGGAACAACAAATACTGATATTTAAAACTTCGCCATTATTAATTTATAAAATAATAATAACGTCCTCTTAGTATGAGCTACGATAAAATTCAGAGGTTATTTTTGGATATCAAACAAAATACAAATTTCAATACATAAAAAAAACAAATTTCTTAATTTTTCACCTTGATTTAGATTCAAAATAACTTTTCTTCATAAGGATACAGAACTTTAAGCAAATAATAAACTATAAGACGAATAATAAAACACATCTTACAAACATACGATGTATTTTATTTCGAATAGGTCTGACTGACGTGAATATCTAATTGGGATAGTTTAGTGCGGTGCAACTGAACCAAGTGCACTTTGGAAAGTGTGAAGTCACTGACCCCGTATCTTGTCGCGTGCTGGATTTTATTTTAAATAAAAAGGAAGTGACATACCGAACGAATAAAGAGTATTTTGATAGAGCTGTAAACCTGGACAATTTGACGGAAATTCTAAACCAAGTAGATTTTACCATAGTTCAACTCTAGGCCACTTTCTCCAAAACCCAGTTCTAGGCTGCTTTCTCCAGACCCAATTCTAGGCTACTTTTTCCAGAACCCTGTTAAAGGCTGCTTTCTCCAGAACCCAGTTTTAGGCTGATTTCATCACAGCTCAGTTCTAGGCTGATTTCACCAGAGCTGAGCTCTAGACTGATTTCTTCAGAATTCAGCTCTAGGCATTGGGATGGTTTCTCTAGAACTAACTGTAGGTTGGTTTATCAAGAGCTCAACTTTAAGCTGGTTTACTCAGAACTCAACTCTAAGCTGTTTTATTCAGAGCTCAGCTCTTGGTTAGTTTCTGATGAATTTAGATATAGGCTGATTTCACCAGAACTCATCTCTAGGATGATTTCTCTAGAACTCAACTGTAGGTTGGTTTATTCAGATTTCAACTCTAAGCTGATTTATTCAGAACTCAGCTCTAGGTTGGTTTCTGGTGAATTTAGATCAAGGTTGATTTCATCAGAACTCATCTCTAGGATGATTTTTCTAGAACTCAACTCTGGGTTAGTTTATTCAAAGCTCAACTCTAAGCTGGTTTATTCAGAGCTCAGCTCTAGGCTGATTTCACCAAACTCTCTCTCTAGACTGTTCTCAACAAAATTCTACTTCCTGTAGCTTTCAGTAAAACTAAAATCAAGCTGCTATCAACAGAACTCTTCGTCTACCTGATTTAACTTGAATGCCACATCAGACTGGTTTCAGCAGAACTATATACAAAGCTTGTTTCATCAGAACTCTACACCAGGCCGATTTCATCAGATCTCTTCATCACGGTGTTTTTTTCTAAACTCTAAAACTATATTAGTTTCACCAAAACTCCACATCCATTGACTTAAACACAGCTTCAGATCAGAGACTGTGATTTCACTAGGTTTACAAACCCCACCGAATTCATAAGAGCTTTTCCTATTTCATAACAGTTAGAGTTTTTAATAATGGAAGAATTGTTTCAATTATTTGTTTTTATCTTTGTCAAAACAAATATGTATATTTATTGTATGTTTTCGTATTGCTTTCTGGCTGACTAGTCAGTTATTAAAGATACGGCTATGTGATGTTTAGTTGATCACGAACGCCAGTGGTGTTTGAGTACAGAATCACATGACTGTGACCACAGCCAACCTTCGACTTTATTAACTTCACTCAGAGTACTGTGAGTCAGTTTCTTACGGTTATTTTTCCTACCCCTCCTTGTCCCCCTTTCTCTGGGTAGAAGTTTAGCATGATTTCCGGCTAGAGACGTGGGTAGACACCATGGCACAAGCTGATGGAATGGTAGCCGTTTTGGAAACGAAAACTTTATTGTTTACGAAGTTGCAAGCTCTAGAACAACTAATTTCTTGTCTCGAAAACGGACATATCGGTGACGAAGGAAGTAAAATATTGCAGGTAAGAGTTATGCATATTTTTTATGAAATAAAACAACAATTTATAAGAGCTCGAACGACCCGAATTAAAGGGGAACTCCCATAATCTGTCAAGGTTATGAATAGTTAGCACTTATTATAAGAAGTTTACCCTAACGTACACCGGACTCAGAACGTATTTTGTGCAGTTCCTCATAAAACTTCTTTGAATGTACGTGTATAAAGTATATATATGTATTACGCATCGCTGTTGCTGCTGTGTTCAGTGCATGGATTTATCGCTTTCCGCATTGTTTGTTTGTAACTCCCGCGAAAGATAGAATGTTATTGCTGACAGGTTGAAATTTCACATTGATAGCTAGTGTGTGTGTATTAAAATCAATGAGTAAAGAACAAAATACCAATGTTAATTGTGAGGCAAGACTGTGTGATTGAGACAACATAACGGCACGTGGTTAGGGTAAACTAGGACTATGTCATATACATATACATATAACTGTTACAATGTGATGAAGGCTGGTAAGGTGAACTAACATTGTACGACTTTTAGAAGTGATACACTTGGTGAGACTAAGATAAGATTATAAGACTGAAAGAACGTGATAACGGTAACTTGATAAGACTGTTACTTTCCACGTGGTTTTTAGTCGAAACAGGAAGGGCGTGGAAATGTACATACTCATGGCTTATACTGTAAGAGGGAGAAAACAAACAAGCTGTAATTTGAATAACATGATATGGCTACTAAATAAAGTTAGATCCATAATTAATATACTAAATATTAATATTCTGAAACGTCAAACTGTCGCCCTTTATAACAAACTTACAGAGTTAGTGTCTCATTTTATTCTAGAGCTTCGTAGTATGAACACTAGAAATCAGCCCTACCCAAGACAGATGTAATTGTATCAAGCTGTTTTGAAGCAGGACTCTTAATACACACACACACACACACACACAATATATATATATATATATAGAGAGAGGAGAGAGAGAAGAAACGGACATACACACACACAGTGGTTGAATTGTGATTTTCATTTTGAAAGAGATGGAACTCCTTTTCGTAATCCACTTTGATATTCCAATCAGTAGACCAGAATGCTAATGGTTTGAAATAACCAGCTGTCAGCATTCTGCCCAAATTTAACTACCTGTATGTATGTATGTATGTATATATGTGTATATATATATATATATATATAAGGTTTCGTTAAAATAAGATCAACATTAGCAGGAATGCTTAGCTGTAAGAAGAATTCAATATATGCCATAAATGTAATCTACTTATACGATACGTATCAATTCTGTTCGTTATTCGCATCTCCTGAGCAACTTGTTTCAGATTAAGGAATTGGCGCCAGTTTCGTTTCGCTGCTGGTCTTGCTGTGAGCAGTTTATAACTCAACCTAAACCTAACTGGTCTGAATACATTATGACTCTTCGCACGTTATCTCTAGGACTGATAATCATTCTCACATTGGTAGTTATTGCCATACCATCACCACAGCCTTAACGATTCATCAGAAACATATTTAACCTAGAAGACACAACACATGGCACTCCCACTCAGATTTAATATCCCTCCCCAGTGGCATAGCGATATGTCCGCGGACTCACACTGCTAGTAACCGGGTTTTGATACTCGTGGTGGACAAAGCACAGATAGCCCATTGTGTAGCTTTGTGCTTAACTTCAAACAGACTTAAAAATAATCAAAAATAGAAGAAAATTACGAAACTCTTACATGAATACAAGAAATGAATACACTTAGAAACGAAGTGTTAAAAATAAAAGGACTAGAAATAGAAAACGAGATCATTTCTTCTTGAATTTAGCCTCTTAAACACATTCCAAAGATTTAAGAAATTCCTAAAAAGATATTGTTACGTATCTGCTTGTTTGATAATTTCCCGTAAAAATTCTTTCCGAAAAACTTCAGCGATACAAGTCCTTTCTTAATTAAAACTAGTTTATTCTTTCTCGTTACAAACTTTGTAATACACTTAATTTCCACAGTCACTGTAACTTAACACACCCTATAATTCACAACGATTCACGCACTTTACTTACGGTCACTACCGCTCACTTGACTCAATTATCTGTCTCTATATCTGTCTATCTGCAATTATATCTCCGCTTTATTTGCCGGGCTTATATAAAAAAATAGAGGGACCGTCTGGCAAACACTAGAGTTGTCAGGAACAGTCATGATG